GCTTTGATCTATCTATAGTTCGCACACTGCTATTTACGAGCAGCTTTATTCGGTTTTCATCATTACAAAATGTCAGCTAAGGCGACATTTCTAAATCGCTTAAACTTTTTCAGCTATAAACGCAAACTCCCATGTGAAGGATTCTAATGGATGCTGCGCTAAGTGACAAGCAAACTGATGAGGTCATAGTAGCAGCGAATTTATCTGGGCCACTAGTACGCTAATATGTGATATGTCACAACCTTTACTTGGCTAACAGGGTATCTGAAATTTACGCAAATAAACCACATTGATTTCCATTAAATACCTGTGGATACATCATGAAGTGAACGATATTTTTTATATATGAGCCCTTTGTATTATATATATATATATATATATTGTAGTCGACCAATTTAAAAAGTTTACATCAGCTACTTATTCGAGAAGCGTAGCGTTAAAGCGTTGAGTGGAAAACATGTAAACTGCGATTGTGATGAATTTAGAATACGACAAGGCGCACTATTATGATGAAGGTCCAGCACAGTGATCCTCTCTCTGGTAATCGTTCAAATGCATGTTTTGTCATTGATGCTTCAATCTTTTCTCAACGAGTTGATTTCGTCATTTTGTCAGACGAGACTGAAATATATACTATAATGGAACGTTTGTCTTTTCTGGTGCTATTGATTTCCTTGTTTTCTGCAATTTTTAAGGAGTATTGCTATGCCAACTATTTTCGGCATGCAAAGCGTGTTCGAGATCCGCGTAAGTTACGAAGCAAGAACATCATACCGAAACATTGTAGAAGGGACTGGTCTAACATCACGAAAAAGTTGTCTACTGAAAATATCTAAGTTTATGTGATGTTATCACAAAATTGCGCTATTCTGGGCTTAAGCCATCGAAAACACTTTTATCCATTTTTCGCTTGATTTTAGCAAAAGCAACGCAAGAAGATTGTTGAAACCGTCTAGGATCGTCAAGACGACCTTACTGCGAAGAGGTTGGTCTGAGAACTGTTCGCTTAAGAATTAAAGCAATGTTTACTCTTACGGCTAACGGGTTCTGTTATTATAGGGACTCTGTATAGAAAGCTGTACGTAAATTTGATTCCGTATTTTTAGTTTGCGATCTTACTCGTTGGTTATAAAGGGGTTAACTTTTCGCTAAGGTGATATCTACGAGAAGGGAAAGGCGAGGACTCTATGGCAGCTGTAGTCATACTTTTGTAGGAGTTTAAATTGATTGTAAAGGTAATAAAAACACAGCTTCATATTGCTCTTTGCACGACTCATGCAGCGCACTTCCTACGGTTAAATGCTGTAGGCTAACATGGCATACTCGAAAGTTGAGAGGAAAGCAAAACCGAAGAGCTCCAAAACGAGGGAGGGGCTTCCACAAGCTATTATCAACCGTATTGAATTACTACCTATTGGACTATTAGGAAAAGGGTAATATCTGCAATATGCCGTTCACAATGAGCCCCTAAGAATTTGGTAAAAATTTATAAAAAGAAAACTCTTAGTTTTGGTATATTCAGCTATCAGATAAAAAGAACACGTCGGAGGTGTTAAAAAAAAGCTAATGAGGTATTTCAATCTTTGCAAGAACTCTTGAGGAGTCATAATTGAGAGCTTCCTTTTATTGATACGAACTGTGATTAAAGTAAGGAGAAGGCCGTTTTTATATGCTAGGTCAACGACTATGGCAAGCTTTTCCAACATGATGAACCTATTGAACATGCGAGGTTGGCAGAAAAAAATTCACTTAATAAATCTTTAAAAAAAGTTTTAAAAAATCGCGCTAGTACGTTCTCCCCTTAACTGTATTTTTAAAAGTCCAGCGATTTGAGTGACTCAGAGATGTATCCATGATTATTGAGGAGTCATGCTGAGACGAGAAAATCAATTAAAAAGGCCTTTTTGTCATTTGTAAAGCCGGTGACTTAACTTAGTTGGCTAATTAACTACCGGAACTGATATTCGTGTCGGTTTACATCCTTTGACTCCAGTCCGTTAGAAGCCCAAAACGGACCAGCTGCTCTCGACCAAGCGGATGTCCAACTGAGCCATACAGCGAAAACTGTGCATTTGGGCAGGCTTGCAGGTGACTATTTTGACATTCAGAATTTCCTGACGACTTGGGAGCCAGCTTTCGTTACATTCTGAAAGCCAGCTGTCTCATGGAATGCCCTCGATAAATACATGAAGGACCAATGTAATTCATACTTTGATTCATACGTAAGACTTCGATTCGTAGAATATATCGTGTATCGTAAAATTTGAATAGTTTTGTACGTATTACGCTTTATTTTAATTAAAGATTCGTTAGATAACATTGCACTAAATAAAATAACATTACATTAGTAATTAATAATAATTATTACATATATTAATAACTTTCGTATTAAGTTCACATCATAAAATATCTCTACGTTACTCACGTTGTATTTTAATTTTCAGTATATATAATAATTTAAGGAGCTATATATTGTGTTCTCTTTACATAATTAAGGATTAGGATCGGTTTCGCTGCATATGACAGGCTTAGTAAATTTTGACGATTAATTTCTTGCCGTATAGCATAATGATATGATATTGCAATAAGTAGAAAAACAGTTTTGTCGGATACCAGGAAAATATGAATATGCGCCATCTCCCTATTATATCAGAACTGGCTAGTAGTAGCAGCTACAACTTACAAACAGAGCATATTTACATGGTTGATGAAAAGCTATATGCGCCTATGTGTTCAATGTACCGGTCGTCATAAAATCGATAGCCGCAACAGGTGAAAAACTAAGCCGTTGTAATCTAGTATGCCGCATGAGAAAGACTGCTGGCAAAATTATAGGTTAAGCCAAGCTTTTCATGATTTAGCTCAATGTAAGCATCTTGCGGAATCTTACTTCAGCTAAGTTTAGATGGCCCCAGAAGTTGAATGCTCGCAATTTGCGGTATACTTTGCTAGAAACTTTCAATGCCAGTGCATTTCGCCCAGATATAGGTGAAAGTAATAATAATAGTAAGGCGAAATTATTTTAACCCTTTAGTTCGTGCTCTAAATAAAGAGCAACGTTTTCCGTAAATTTAGACACTGTAAAGGACAACTGCAAATATTCGCCATTACCTGGGGTTGCCAAACGTTTCAGTACTAATCGTATATCTGAATTAAGGCCATATTGGGAACCCCGCCGTGGCACCGCCGCGTTCTATCCTAGCGATTTGGGAGCCAGCATTCACCTCGTACTAGGGGCGGGCCGTCTGATGGAATGCCTAACGGCAGGACTTTAACTTTACCTTTAGTTTTCCGTAACCGTGTAGACACGGCCTTGGTAGATTTTTGAAATTAGGGTGACTTTGTTAGCCTGGGGGTGCTCTGTTTCAGAGCCACAATCGGGTGACTTATCGTTTCTAAATTTATTTTTTGTAAAGATATACAAAAAGGCTTTCCTTTGTTCACACATTCATACAAAGTACTGGTTATCGTAACAGTACATGTTTATCTTCTTCTTCGCTGTCAATCATGGACTATAGTGAACGATCCCATATCCTTAGTACTTGCTGTCGTATAGTCAGACAGTCAACCTAGAGGGTTGTCTTTCTGCAACACACTCCCTCGTATCGAGCAGAATGTATCTCATGGTTTCTCATAATGGAAGTTCTAATACCTTGCTATCTCAAATAGCGGCTGAATGATAACAAATGAAGGCGGAAGGTATTAACTTTATGAAATGATTGCAGATATTTAGCTCTAATGGGAAGCTCAGAAATAATTCACACTAATTATTCTAAAAAACTAAATTTAATAAATATAATTTATTTTTTTATGATTCACCAATAGTGTTAGCTTCTATTCAGCAGAATTGAAGTGCACAAAGGAGCTACGGGTTCTCAAGACGCGCATGTCTTTATTCCTTTTTCTTTATTTTTTTTTCTATATTTGTTCTTGAATAAAGACGATACTTCTTACATAGCTACATTTTTTCGTGCGTAACATCTCCTTTACATATTTTTTTTTTGTAACAAGAACTCTGATTGAGGAACAACTTTCTTTTAATGAGGTTGTGGTAAAAACTGTTTCAATTCAGAAGTTAATGAAATTGCGTCATCGAAGCCGTGCCCCGCAGACGAGCATGGACCTCATTTGCTGAAGGTTATGTATTTTTTCTTGAAAAGCCAAATGACGAATGCAAGGCAGTACGTCGGACCTTCACGTCAAGCAAGACTCACCCTTTTCTTATGAAATCTTAGGTCCGCCCTTTACGTACCAATCTCATTATTTCACACCAGGTCGTCGTTATATTACGTCATCTAGCACTGCCTTAATTAAGCACTAGGTTATGAGGCTTGCATCCAGTAATTTCATCTAGTTCAGCTAAGCAATACCCCCTTATATCAGGTGGCCGCACTATATCCACTTCAGTAGTTACATCTACTTTAGAGATTATTGGCAAGCATTGTGAACTAACTGTCTATTCCCTCACACTACATATATCTATAGTTGCCGGGTTCAGTTTAGGGAAATGTCGTGTTCTTTCAAAATACTGATGCAGTAAGAACCTATAAGTAACCAACGACCAGCTAGCAGAATTTATTGAGATACTGTATAAAATCTAACACAATAAAAATAGCAAACTATTTGGCCACCGACTCACAATATTGGCCAACGCACGATCGATTATATTGCCAAACACGGAAGGCTACCTATTCGAAGCTCTACGCAAATGTTGCCATCCGTTTTGCTTGAACAAAAGCATTGAGTGAGGGATGGAGGACCAAAAGCGACGATCATTTCATGATGTGTCGTAATAATGTGAGCGACGACGACACCCGCAAAGGAGCAGGAAGCTAGTAAATTATGTCTCAATGACATAGGTTCGAAAATGATTTGAAACGTATCGACGACGTCATATGTACTACAAAAAAGTAAGATCACACTACAATTACCCAATCGGTAAACTCCAACGGGGACTAGCCTCCAGCTGATAGTTCTAAGAATACGATTAAAACTCTTACCTGTCAATTCGTCGTCTTCAAATGGCGATGCTGTCTGCCCATATGTAAAAAAAAATATTATTGTGAACAGGACCGTAAAACCTGAGTTCGCGTTTCTTTCCGCTGTCCTCATAGTATACGTGAAAAGTAAATATCCTCTACCCAATATCCTTGTCACCGAACAATCATCACGCGCGTTATCCCAAACAGATTAGATCATATTCGGTTAGTAAACACGTTGATCTTTATCTGGATCAATCACAAAGCGTTACCTAACACTATGACATCACAAGTATTTAAGCATTTCACGGCTGCACAGACCACAAAAATATGCTGGTGTGTATTATACGCTGCGGGAATTACCAACGATTTTGCTAAATAAAGGTGTACTAGATACACCACAGTTAAACTGGGATACAATTGATAAGGCCCCAAGCGCCACACCTTAACCTCAGGGAGGCCGGCTGGCAGTCTGATGGCCTCGTGGCGCTCCGAGTCCGCGGTGAAAGGATAGGAGAACTACTTTACCCTTCCCTATCCCTTACCGAAAAGAGGGCAGTACCCTCTCCAGAATGGTCGCATACTTCGCTGCGACAGAGTTCCAATGTGCCTACCTAGGTGTCGACGCGAAGGCCGCTTACAGAAGGCTCCAAATTCCCTTATCATCAGAACGGAAGTCATTCTTACTCGCATGAAAAAATCTAACCTAAAATTGGTCTCGTAGCTTTGTGAAGTGCGAAATCTTTTATGGACATGTCTTCTCGATTTTGAAAGCCCTACTTCTTAGACCTTTCCTTTACCATTTTCAATTCGTGCCAATACAAGTTTGGATGCGCAGCATGAGTAAATTACATTTAAACGCCTGTTATATATATACAAACGATAAAATGTTGCGATCTAGACTTAGTCATGGGTACAAAGTCGACAACACTTACGTATGATGATTATTATAATATTACGCTCACAGCCAAAACACAGTTGAATGAATATGCCATAACCATGTTGCACAAAGTTCTTAGCCATAGATCTCTTCTAGATGTTTACACCAAATTTTCATGACCTAAGAATAAAACCAACTAAACTGACGTTTTTTTTTTAATTTTTAGGGACCCGCTAATAATTCTAGTTGAATCTGAAGGACCGACATAGCACCAGATTAACAATAGAAAATATGACTTTTTATTATATCCAACACTTTTATTTCTTTTTTTTTCATATCGATGAAACAGTGGGTTGAAACATTCGAGCTAGGTCTAAGTGTATAAGTGAAATAGTTATATATGTGACATATTGTTAATAAATTATTTCTAAAACAGAAAATTCGTTCAAGCCATTTACACGTTCTTTTTTTACGCAAGCCATTGCACTAGTTTCTGTTTTTTTATTAACCTTTTAATATCTTTGACACATTTGTAAATCTTATAGCGCGCGGGGCATCCGTGTGCTTGATCACCATATTTGGTTTCTGCTAACGAATCAGTATAGCTTTCTTGTATTTCTGGCGTCCCGCACATAAAACTTTTTTCTCCGATTGCTATCACTTGCTGTTTACCTTTGATATACCAAAAATATACATTTAAAAGCGTTCTTATTGCTCTATTAACGTGCTGTAACGGTACTTTTTTTTACAGTGCAATTTCAACTCAAAATAGCGCTTCAAAAATTCATGCCTTCTTTAATCGGGATTTTGGTGAGCCTAAAGCACTGCAAAAATAATCATTTACCTAGTGTACCGTAACGTAGTTATCGGTGGAAAGATTGCTCGAAAGTTGTTCGGTAAGTTCGTAGAGAATTGTTACCGACGATAAAAAGTCGTAAGGCTGCAAGAGCTTGATTCACTGGGAATTGCTTTTCGCAAAGTAGACAATTGATTAGTACGTTTATTTGATCCAGTTGCTACCGAGTCGACCAAGTTATTCAAGGAAAAAGGCCCAACAGATAAAATCCCAAAGCCCAACAAAAAAACAATGTGAGGCCGCTTAAGCAAACACCGTCAAAGCGGCTCTCTTGGAGTTAACCATCGACTTTTGGCCTTTCACGATCACTAGTAGACCAAATCAGAAACCACGAGATCTTCAACATCAACCCTGTAAATTTTTGGCGAGAAATAATAATTAGATTGGTAGATAGATGGAAAAAGGTCGTGAACAGTAAGCGGGGATATATAACATGATAACTCATTGTTACAGGGACAAAAATATAGTCTTTCGCACTCAGTAAAAAAGCGCGGGAACTTCTGTTTTAGCTTGAGAAATGAAAAGTGCGTGTTTTAAAAGCAAAGGCTAGTTTTTTTAACGGTAGAATCTTGTAAAGTAACCTTTTTCAATGAAATCGTAGACCCTGCGGCGTCATTTCATAAGTTTTTCGCCACGAGTCGCCACGGGAACTGACATAGCACATATCACTAGGATAGTTATGTTATTTTCGAAAGGGTAGCCAAGGCCCAAGTTAAAATGAAAATGAATAGTAGTTGTAAGTAAAATTTGCGATATTTAGAATTCATTATAATTGATACAGTACGATTCAAAAAGGAGAAAGTCGTGCCCGTAGATTCTCAATAAACTTCTGTAAGGGATGTTCTCCAGAGGAAACGCTGAATCACTTTCAAAACAAAAGCTCAATGTGAGAGGTTTTTAACAAGTTGAAGTACTCAGTGAGGGTGAATTTTTAGACGGCTGGCTCCCAGCAGGAAATTATATACTACTAGTTTTAAATATAGACTACCTCACGCGTCTTTTAGTCCCTAGGGTGAGGAACGGCGTGGTCTGCGTGGCTAATGCACATACCTTTAAGTGCGTAGTCGTGATAACCATTAACAAACAAGCATACAGCTTTGCTGGTTCGTATCTCAGCGGTAGCAAGACTAGGAATCAAAAAATAAAAAATCACTAAGCTTAATAGTCGCTTATATGTTTACCATGCTGTTTCTTACTCTTGTTCGGGAAGCCTCTCATAAATCCAGCAAGATCTAACCTGGTTAAACTCCTAGTCAGTCTTCGATGCTATACCAATAAAGGGTAATTTCGAGAACTTTTTTACATAGAAAAAGTACCTGAAGGTGCCCAAAGAAATTCTAGACAAAAGCGTCACTACCGTGAGGACAAACTTGTTAACTTAACATGGCTTTCAAAATTGGAAAGCGGATTACTAAGCGGATAGAAAAACATTTAATGTAGGTCTTGACAACGAAGTTAGTACGCCAAAGATTCACGTAGCGAGCTTCGTCAAAGATTTTACCAACGCTCTTTACTGTATTATATCTTGTTTTAGATCTTGTACATGATATTGCTAATGCTCTAAATTTCAAATTTTCTAGAGTCCTCGAAAAGCTAGATTGATCGTAACTTTTTGCAATATCCTGTAACATATTAAAATTATGTTATTAAAAAATGTTTCATTAGTCATACGATAATTTCCATACTATTATACCTTAGCAATGATCCTAGCATATACATATTACAACAAGGCTCAGCACCGCTTGTTAGCATTATCAGAATCTTATTAACGAACTTTCGATTGCTTTGGATTCGAAAAAATGTGTTTATGAATTTTCTATTGTTTTTATTATTACAGACTGTAGATATTTTATTGTGAAAAGTCAGACCTTGCACAACATGTGAATGTAAAAATCAAATAAACGTATGCTTTTGAAGTATGATGCTGCATGTGAACGAATAATTATGAAATATTAGATGATTTATAATATAAATTTATAAGACTGATGTAACGGAGGTGCCTCACTCCCAGAGGAATGAATAAGCTACCAAATATGAATGAAGTGTATTGTAGAGCTGGTTTTCGAATATACAGAAGGTCGCTGAAAGCCAATTTACTTGACTCTTTTTAAAATACATCTCGTAATAATTTTAGAACAAGAGTGACAATGCAAGCTTCGTTAATAACCCCAGCTGACCGTTTAAATAATGTGTTTTTCCAGGCGTGTATTGAGGCAATCAAGAAGGTGAAATTCTTATGTTTTTGAACGATTTATATTTAATATATATATATATATATATGGTATGCCCTATGGATGATATTTCTCCCAAAGGTAATGGCACATGTTTGTTTTTTAACTCAACAGAAGAAAATTTACTTAAAAAAATTGATGTTTGGTTTGATAGTTTCAAGTTAGTTGTCTTCAGGATGAGAATTTTTAATCTGGACCGTCCCGGAGAGCTTTCAATGGAGTTCTGAAATGGCACAAAAAGCTAGCATCGCCTGCTATCATTATGTCAGGTTGAATAACTGACCTTGATCACGCGACGCACCTCACAAAGAGCAGTAGACGCAATATCTTCGGTCGATTTCTTTTTTAATCGGGCTGGCAGGTTTTCGTCATTTGTAATTGTATCTCGATACGCAGGCTGCGGAAACAGATGTGGCACTCACGTACGCAATGTTACAATACGCAAGGTTTTGATGTGTATCTAGAATAAAATAATTAGTATCGCTGGCACCTCTGTGACTTCACTGGGTATTTCTTAAATTTTCGTCTCATTTTTTTACAATGATAGCTGTTTTTAGTTGCCCTAGATGTGTTTATTGTCGGTGCTAATATACCCTCCTTCAAATGTGTTCATTAGTTGTGAATGGATGTTAATAGCAAAGGAGAAGCTTTGAGTTCGCACCACCTAATTTTCATATGCATATTAGCTTTTGAAATTCACAACATTGATAGGACGTGCACCTGTATTCCACATTTTGACACGTCTATACTTCAAGCTTCGCACAAACATAAAGACAATTGTACGGGAATGGTTTTTTGTACCTTTTTTTTTAAAAATGGCATTCCGCAACGGTTCAATCAACGCGCTAATATTTTGTAAAATAAGCCCATTCTAAAATTCTATTGAACGCTCTAATGCGATTTAAACGCGTTTGTTTTGTTCTACAAATCAATGGCTATCATTTGGTGTGGGTTATGAAATTTTATTCGAGTTATATATATATATATATAATATTACTTTCCGAAGACGCATATCTCAACATCGAAGTTAAAAAAACCTTAAATATTGTTTTAAAAAACAGAGATTCCAATATGTTTTTTAACTGGACTCTTTAACCTTCGCATGTTATTATTCTTTATGTTTCATTCTGCATTTTTTCTTGTGTAAGGGCGTATTTAATAGAATACCAGAGAATATAGATTTAGGAGATTTAGATGGATTAAATCATATAATCATAACAGTTGTACACTGTGAGATGTTCTCTTTTTGCACCCGCTGCTTGACATGCAGATTAGGCAAAATGTAATTCCCTGTCTCTACAATAATTTTTTCCACTTGATTCTCTCATTTATCATCATAGATTATGTCTGCGCACTTTACTATTATTTCCGTTGACCAACATTCGCAAACACTACGTTAACTAATTCGTAAATAAGCAATCTAGGTTAGATTGAGAAAATCCATGCTCCGTCCGAAAGGACATAAAGGATATCATAGTGTCGAGAATCATCGCAAAGACATTTGCTGTGCACACCAAAAGAAGAGGAAACGACTGCGTTAGGGACGCTATGGAGACAATGCTTCGGGGGCGTATAGCATACTAGATCTAGCAAGCGCAGCTTATAAACTTAACGCTGACGCCGAAGGGAAGCACGATGCTGTCCACAGGTATCGCCAATTAGCAGACTGACAAGGTTTAATGGGATATCATGAGTACCTATAAATCTGTTTAACGGCAGCTAACCCAGGGGCCCAGTTCGGTAGTGACACAACCTCTTGTATTTCTTTGGCATTGTTGGCACATGATTGCATTTTTCTCTCATTAAACACATCTCTCCTTCCTAAAGTAAACCTTTAACGATTCTGTGTGTTAGGTCGTGGCCGTTGACCTCGGCGCGTAGATACCTACATTCTTGAGGAAGATTTTTGGAGAAAACCTTTGCACTATAGCCAGATTAGAACACGCGACCTTTACCAAACTGGCTTGTAATACCATTTTCAACCATTTTTGGGAGGAGAATGTGAAATTGTTGTAAGGCTATACTAGACAGTCTGAATCTGGCTTTTGTGCCTGTATTATATCTGTGGATGTTTCAGTGTGTATCTTTGTCATCTGCAAGTGATTTTGCAATCTGTTCGACTTTTATGTCTCTGATCAGGGTAACCAACTAATCAGGTGAAACTACGATTAAAGTGTCTTCTTATTCGTGACATTTTTGACATCCAAGAAAAATCTTTTTCCGAAATTCCCCACATTTTGAAAACTGAATTGAGAAGTTGTTGCATGGACATATGCATATAGAAAACGTGGTCGCCTTGCTCTTTCGTCACTAAACTGGATAACATTTTTAAACAGTAAATTGCGTTAAATGGGCGCGTTTACCACTCTCTGATTGCCCGACACAGACTGACGCATATGCCAATATCGAAGCAACGATAACACTTTTTTTGGCGTAGCAATTAGACGAGTAGTAATGAGACGAAAAACGTTTTTTGAGATAACGATCATATAATAGACTTGTCCCCTATATACGATTTAACAGTGGAGATGGTAATGTTAAATTATATACCACCTCATTTGTGGCGCATCGCAAAGTCTCAGTGATAAATTAGGATTTAGTAGGGGGCAGAAATACGAACACGTTTTGAAGAATATATTGGCTCCAACTGGATAAAGCAAGAGTAGTTATTGCATCTTCGCGAGCAGAATAAGCTCAATTCACTGTGCCTGTGGTGTTCCGGGTCGTTGGCGAGTCAGCACTGAGTTGTGTAATGAAGGGCAAGAATGAGGTGATAGATTAGTAAGAGTGAAGCAGATGGTTCTCTTGATATCATGTTTGACTTGAATATTGGTCAAATAGGGATGCCAAATTCACGCGTGTCAAGTGTGTTGGTGAGTGACTTCCGTTGTTTTGGGTGGCACAAGGGTTGTGGGTATGAGAAGAAAGGACAGGCACCGCATGACCTTGCGCTAAAGACGGTCATTCTATCGGTAGACAGTGCTTTTTAAGGTAAGTCACAGCAGGTTGTTGTAGCACCTGCTGGCAGTAGGCTGCCGTTGTTAAATATGTTTGTAAGGCCATCTTGGCCTACAGCCGTCATTCTCCAGCAGTTGCTAGGGGTATCGTTTTATATTACCTGTTCCGCGTATTATTTTATATTACGCTTGCTGCCAATGTCGCGGAACAGGTCAAGGGTGAAATTGATCGTTGCAGACAGCTTTTATTGGATTAACTACCTGCTGAAACAGAAGTTATCGGATTTTATTTATTGTATCTAGGGTTCCTGTATGCATGGACGTTTAACTGGGTGTGATTTTATAATTCCTATTAGTTCTTATCGTGGTTTGTCTTCTTCACCGTATAAATTTCGGATTTTGCTATCTAATGAGAATTCTAACACTTAACGATTTATATTTAAGAAGACACTATGTATTGTCCTAACTTAGATTTATAGTATCCATTCATATTTACATAGGCCGTCTCATTAAAATTTTTTTTTTCTTTTAAATGTCGAACAGTCAACGTACGCTCGTAGGCACATTTCAAGTCAGTAAATATTAGATCTTGAAGAGTATCTTCAATTTGGTTTGAATTCGATTTGAGCTTTGAGACAGGAGATTTCTCTTGTCGAGCAAGCGCGTGTGACTTTGGCTTGATCTCAAAAACAAAGATAAGGAAATATAGTTCTGTGACTCTCGCAGTTGTTAATTGGAATAGGACGAAGACGACGTTAAGCTAACTATGTAAAACTGTTTTAAGCAATGCATGAGACTACTGGCTACCAAGTTGAATCTAATTAGAGCTTCTCGCAATATTATATCATTAAGGTGTGTCTAAGGCACGTAAACATGTTTCCAATGGATTATCGTGGAGATATTCTTATCGCTGCATCAAAAGACTGATTTAGGGATGGTGGAATGGACAAGCATGCAATTCCCATTTTATTTTGCGGGGCTTGACACTACGAAGTGTTCTAACATTCATATTACACATTTCTAGACAACTGCACTTCTCCCACCATCGCCACACACTCCCTCATTATTTCTTAAATCTGGAGATATTGTAGGGTGCAGTCAATGGCCAGCGTTCGTTAAATCATGAATGGCGTGCCTAGACCTTTAGAATTATCGTTTCGAACCTGCCCCAGGCAAAATAACACAAAATCATCTGTGCCTGTGAACGACAAGAAAAGACGAAAAAGATCGCAGTTGGGTTAAAAAAAATGATAAGTAATGTGCTCAGGTGTGCTTAGTATGTAAGGCGCGACGAACGTAATTTACCAGGCAAACGTCTTTTTCAAAAGAGGGACAAAGGGCACGAACTGTTGGCATATAGTGCTCGGTGGCAAACTGGCACGTGACGAGGACTAAGAGAATAAAGTGACTGAAATATTGTTATTCTAAAAGTAAAGAGTTTCAAATTAATCATGTAAAAAATTTCTCGCCAGAGATAAAAACGGTGAAAATTGTGGTTGGTCGAATTTTGTCGGCAACAGTAAGAAACGAAAAAATAACATAATAAAACAGTTAGGTATAGGCATTGAAGCGTTTTTTGTACCAATATGATATCACAGTGTTCTATGTTGTTTTACTCTATAATTTGTGTGAGTACACTACGTAGCGGTCAAGAGCTGGAGAAAGTTATTAGAAACGGAAATGGTGTTTGGGTACATTTTCTTACTTCCAAATAATTTTATTACTAACAATCACGCGCGGTTATCTAAATATTATATGAGTTTACTATAAGTAAAAATTTTCCATAAGAATAATTCAAGGCGTTACGCCTTGATCGCTAAAAAGTCTTGTTAATCAAAAGACGCCAACACCACTAACATAGAAGCTGTGTTGCAACAACATATCATAATGGACACCTGCCGAAAAAGGAAATAGCGTGCCAAATTCTGTATGTACACAATCGACGACACCCTTAAGAATCATTAATGCAAGAATTGTCGAAGCACCTTATCTTTCATATGCTGTCTGAAAAAGCGCCTTGTGGCTAAACAGTGGACATAAAGCTACTATGCCGACGATAAGGTGTCTTATGGGGCATAACATTAACATCGGTCATATTTTTATGTTGAAATGACAGCATAACTGTCTAAGAGACAGCGTCAATTACATAGCTACTCTATCTATATATTAACCCTGTATACAGGCTTTAACATAATTTCATCCAGTCTGCGACAATCATCACTAGCATATGCGTTCTCGGTTTTATGGAACCTTTGTACTGCGAGATGCATTAACCGGTGTCGCGTTTGGTCGTTGTGGCACTCAACCCATACGAAAGGCCATAATGAAGGCTAGTGTTTATCTTGGTGTCATACTGGTAGGTGTGCGGCAAAACTAGTCAACATTTCGCTCCACGCATATATGCATATTAGTATTGTCAAGATATGCGCAGAAATTTAAGGGAGAGCGTAAAGCCATGCCTCCATTTCCGAACGAAATATTGCTGAGAATCTTCCTTGTTGTAATATTTTGAAAAGTTTTAGTAGTGCAGCATGTTGTTCCTTAATAAGAATATCATAGAATCTATACCATACAATTCATTAGGACCACTGAGAACTTCAGTTAGTCATAGCCTGTCTAATTTCTTCAAAAATTTTTATCATAACCTTGCTGACGAAAGCCTGCAGAAGAAGATAGGTTCCTTCTATTAGAGGAGTTTAGAAAATGCCTCGACAGAGTAAATCGGCCCTACATGGTAGTGCTGCGTATATTTCTTAAATAATAAAATACTTAGCAAAACAAGACCACCAAGGGACACGAGACGCGATTTACGTTTACACTTTATCGACAAAAATGACCTGTAAAGATTTAATTTTATCGAAAGGTCGGTGAACCATGGTGGTCTTGAGAAAGGCTGGACACGTCAATAACTGTAGCATTGGAAGGAGATATGTATATGAAAGGATGTCCGCGATCAACGAAAGGATGTCCTACAGCGCGGGAATCTATTGGATAGGGGATGCTTGTAAAAATTTATAGGCAGAGCTCAGCTCCTGTGTAAACTTGTTAGGTATTGACAACCCATATGACTGTTGGACAAGAGTAGGATAGTAACTGATTAATGATTGTTTTATCTGTGATTGATAGTGGGCTGTGTAATAGGCCTAGGTGAACGGTTTGACGTTACTACTTCTCATAATACCCTTTTTTTATTGTACTACGATGACGGATGCTACAGAATATCTATATTATACCATCAATAACAACTATAGAAAATTTCTTTTGTTCGCTATGTAGCCGGCAGCACCACGGCATATACCAGTGCTGCTGACGTTGTGGTTATGTTAACTGGCTCACTTCTTACGCTCCGTCTTTGACTGGTATACCCGAAGAAGCCCTATACGGTCATTATCATGACCGTATAGGGCTTCTTCGGGTTATTATTATGCAAGAAGTTCTACGACAATTATTATATATTATTATATATAAGTATTATACAATATTATTAGAACGATATTTGTATTATAAATTTGTTTAGTCTTAGAAAGTTTTCTTATGTCCATCAAATAATGATAATATAATAGTGACTCTCTAAAGTCAAAAATTATGACGCCTTATTAATCTAGTTCCAAATATACAGCTGAAGAGAAAACCCACAAAGTAGCCACAAAAATCAGTAAATAGGCTACGATAAAACAGGAAAATCATCCAGAAGATTACGGCATAGTAACGTTTCGAGCGAATTCCCCAAAGGAACTAAAAGGGATGACCATTGATGCGGAACATATGCTAGTTGTCTTCGACGACACGAAAGGTACATGGTCAGTTAACAAGAAGCAATTCACGAAATTTATAAGGTTTTAAAAAATATATTGAGTATTGATTCACCTCTGCACATCGGCAACCAAGAAACTTATAACTTCCTTAGTGTATAAAAAATCAGGAGATAATTTAAACCCTCCTGAGACTGAAATAACGTTGGATAAAATATATGAATAAGAAAGTATATGTCTTATTCCATACATGTACCCCGAAGGTAAATCTCATATGATGAAACTGTCTGTAAAACCCATAATCTATTTTGTAATCTTAATTAGAAATAAATGCATGAAAAGGGATTTCCAATACCCCCCCCCCTCCAAAACTTATACCTTATTTAATTATTATTACACAGTATTAAATTGGGGACAGACCCAATTACACGTCGACGGTTATTTCAACAAGTATCACAAATTAAAATGCTAAGTGACGACATAACCACTGCATCACCACCCAAGATCGATCGTCAACAATTAGGGTTAATTTCTTAAACTACCGTGAAAAACAACCTCGTTATCGGTTGTAATCGAAGACAAAATTAGGATTACTTTCCGAAAAAAATAACCAAGTCAAGTAAGTACTAATAATCAAGCGAAATCAAAGTCAAGCACTTTGAAAATACAGCTCCGCAATTGCTGCTACAAAAACGATCGTTCGGCCATTAAATGTCGTTTAAAAACCGCGACACGCAGTCATTGTAGAAAAGAAAGTGTGAAGAAACTCAAAAAATGTATAGGTATACATGTAGATGTTTTAAAGGAAAATCTACCAGAACCTATAGCTGGATTCCTGAAAAAAAAAAGTGAAAGATCTAGCACTGAATTTCCTTCACACCATTACGAAATAACTGAAGGGTATTAATTAAGGAGGAACTACTTGAAATGGAACATGACACTGATTCAGTACCCACAATGCCACTATCGAACCTGATACTACTAACCTAAAGGAACCATGTTCCTAGGATAACAGATTTAAAATTAATCACAACAAGTAGTTAAAAAGTTAAACCACATTCACGTACTAAAGTTAGTTCGCGGAAAAAACAGTAAGTGAAAATATTAAAACTTTACCTTATGAGAAATCTATTGACATAGACTACATTTACTGAGTAATATCCCAACGCATATTTTTCGATCTTGAACCGTATCTATTGCACATCGGTATACATTGCTTTTTTTCGGCCGCTTTTTCAACGGTTGTTTACTCTGCAGTCATCTGGTCCGTTTCTCTTGTGCT